TCTGTAATTCACGCAAACTTTTGTAAACTATATATAACGCTGTTGGTTTTCTAAATAAATAAAATAAAATAAAAAATAAAAATAACATAAATTATCGCAGCATCGCAGCGCGACGCGAGGGCGGTACGGTGGTGGTGCGCCAGTACGCTGGTCGCATTGTACAGTGGCATTATCGTAATGTGCACCTCTTTTTAATCCTCGAAGGGGTCTTCGAGGATTTTAAAGAGTTGGGGGGCTTACTCTTAATATCAATCTCAATGTCAATTCAATTTCCAATAAAACCCCAATCGTAGCTGTTAAAATAGCATTCAGAGTACGGAATTTAAAGCTATACCCAACACCATTTAGTTCATTCAATATCCGCGCGCAATACGGATGCAGTAGGCGCTAGAGTTACAACTCAAGAGTACAAAATTTTACATTACCAATGTCGATCGATCGGAATTGGATTCAAGAGTAAGCGCCCTGTTCCGTATATAGAGGTAAAGAAATGTGATCAAATATTAAACCATTACAAGTATAAACAAGTTCCAATTACGTCACAATACGGGTCGGAAATTTAAGTAGGTACCCACGTGTGTAACGTTCGCGTAAAAGCTTAAAATAATATAAAAGAGAATGGAAAAGGAAAGGTAGTTTTAAAAATAATAATATGACACGATAATTTGTAACTACCGCTCTACAAAACATAATTCAATGCCAAACAATATTGCCGGAATACCTAAAATTATTGTTTACGTGCAACTTAAAAGGAAGGAAAAACTTGCTTAATATACAGTGGCGTAGCGTGCCTTGGAGGGATAATCATTTTTCATAACATTTTTTTTTTACATAATATACTTATAATTTGTGTGAAAACCGCAAATCTTAATAACTTCTATTTTTCTTAAGTTTCTGCCAACCTTTGAACGCGGGTAAAAGTCGTTTATTTTGACTTTTGCCATTATTGAAATAGAAAAAAAGTTTGGGAAGTTTTTATTCATTTTTGCTTAGGCACGGTCTATTATACGGGGCCCCTGCAGTTCGGGGGCCCCGTATAATTGATACGGCAAATACGGCGCTAGCTACGCCCCTGTTAATATAAATTACAGATGCTAATTTCAATCACGAACTTACTACTAGCTTACTATAATATAGCATTTGTCACTTAGTAGCATGTGTATCGGAATATATTGCACTAAATTGTTTTTTTTCTTTTTTTTGTACCACAACCGTGGCAAAAAAGCACACGGCCCACTTGATGGTAAGCTGTTACCGTGGCCTATGTACGCCTGCAACTCTTGGGGCATTACATGCGTCTTGCCGACCCTTAAGAAACCTATTCACTCCCCTCTTGAAGAACCCCATGTTATAGCCAACTGGGAAAACCACAGTAGGGAGTTCATTCCACAATCGGAGGGTCCGTGGGAGAAAATTCCTCTGAAACTGAACTGTACGGGACTATTTGGGCTCCAATGTGTGAGCGTGAACTCCCTGTCGATGGCGAGCGGCGCGATGATAGAAAATGGCCGTGGGCATCATATCAAACAATTCCGCAGAACACAACCCATTATACCAGCAGTAGAACACGCACAAGGAGGCAAAAACTCTCTAGAGGTATAATGACGGTACTCAACGAGTTAAGGTACATCGAAATCGACTTTTGTATTGTGTACGTTATAGGTGAATATAAAAATGAGTGAAGGTATAAAAAATATCACACCAAAGTCAAAAGCAATTACAAATATCAATAATAGGTCGTTGCTGTTTTATCAGTAATATATCCAAATGAGTGCATAATATTACCCGTAACTTTGTAGACCATATCAAGAGATTTTAACAAACTTAAAAATTTGCCAC